TATGGATTTCATGAACAGAATCAGCAGGAAAACAGAGGGGGTTGAGATTATTTAAATTTCCATTTTCATGTTGCTCCTCTTATCCAAATCGTCTGGAACAGATGAAACTTCATCTGCAGTAAAACAGCAAGACAAATATCAAATAATCATCCATGAGTATTGTACTGTCACTGAAATTGGCTTGTGACTGATTGTGCAGCCTTTAGATGGAACAGAGCATTATTCAGGTACTCAGGGTGAAAAACATACGAAAGAGTTCAAGCACAGGGATAATGACAAGAAACTGTGGGCTATAAAATGCTCTAATGGTCAGCTAAAATCTGTGGACCTGAGAAAACTCCTGGCTGCCCCTTATCAGGGGCAGGGGGACAGACCCGAGTGGCAGCTGGGACCCACTCCACATGATTTCTGATGAGTTGGTTTTAATGTATGGATATCAATACTAACTGTTAAAACCTTCATTGAGTAGATGCCCCACACAATGCAAAGCAAATGCACTTTCCAAATGAGGAACTGACATCCGGACCATTATGTTGAGTGTTTCCCCGAGCAGTGATCTCTGCCAGGGACATCTCTCACGTCCCACCGGAGAAGCTCCTCCTTGGCATGGGGACTCTGAGGACACACCCCTGTGGATCTGTTTAGATTTTATGCTGTAGATGATGGGGTTCAGCATGGGGAGGACCAGCAGGTAGACGTTGGCCATGAAGACATGAATAAGAGGGGGAGCATGCTTGCGATTCAAGTGAACTATGGACAAACTGACCATGGGGATGTACATGATCAGGTCTGCCAGGATACAGGACAGGCAGTTGTTCAAAGCTTGAGACACTCCCTCTGGGATGTGATGCTCAGAATGGCCCTAGCAATCAGTATACATGACATGAAGATGAGGATGAGGTCGAATGTCAGAAAAAGAATGGCTACAGCAAAGTCATATCAGTTATTGAATGCAATGTCTGCACATCTGCTTGATCAGACAGCAGGCGATGGCAGCCCTCCTAAGAGGTATCTGCACAGAGCAGCCAGCCCAATCTTGCCTGTCCTGGCACTGGTGAGGATGGAGGAGTATCTCAGCGGGTAGCAGATGGCCACATAGCAATGAAAGGCCATGGCCAGAAGCACTGAGGACTCCATGAAGGAGAAGGAATGAATGAAATAAAGTTGAGCAAAATAGGCTCCGAAACTGATTTTCTTGTAGTTGACCCAGAAAACACTCATCACAGTTGGCATTGTAGACATAGACAAACCCAAATCAGTGATGGCCAGCATGGACAGATAACAGTACACAAGCTCATGGGGGCTCGGATCAGTCCTGATGACAAAGAGGGTTGTGCAGTTCCCCACAAGTGATGCAATGTAAATGCAAGTGAAAGGGATGGAAAGTCAGACATGGGAAACCTCCATCCCCTGGATGCCCATTGGGATGAACAGCATGAGAGGAATGAGATTCTGCTGCAACATGATATGATGAGCTAAAGCACAAAAAGGCAAGGTAATCTTGTAATCAGTGAACCAAAGAAAAAAGCATGAACTAGAAATGATCCAGTATCACAAATCTGCCAAATCTAAGCAAACATATTTATGTTATGCACTGTGGCTCTCTCAGAGTGCTGCAGTACGAGCTCTTATTTAAATGAGAGTTTGATGATACAGAAACATACCATTAAAGATGTAAACATTGCACATACCTATGAGCCCAATAACTTCTTCATTTACCTGTTACTGTGCTAGATAGCAACATGCAATATTACTGTTATTATAAACATCATTAATCTAAGGAAAAGGGAGGAAAGTTTGCAGTTGTTCCCCAGCTAAATAATGACTAATCAAATGTACTGGTGAAGCAAAGACAATTGTGCCAATTTCATGTGCACCCGTGGCATTTCAGGGCTTCTGCTTTATGGAGTTGAGAGACCTTGCGTCATTGATATGGTTTTTTACTCCAGAAATAAGTAGAAGCTTCTCTTTACGTGATGAATTTGGCAGTGCTGCCGAGTTATCTAGGCTCTGCCCTGGCTGCTTCCAGTCCCGCTGCCGGAGGAGATGCGGTTTCACGCCAGCTGTGGCTTCACTTTCCTCTCCTCCCTCTTCCCACACAATACACGCTCCAATGCCTTGGTTTCAAGGAGCCCAACTCAGCTGAGGAACCACATCTCCAGGTGCCACTATATCACTTGCCTACACACAGCCAGGGAATATCCTCCAAGTCTTTACACCGATTGCCGATGCTTTACAACAGACTCTTGGAGAAACAGCTGACAGGAGGGCTGTATTGCTTTTATAAATATATAGTGCATCCACACTGAGACACCACAGAAATGCTGTATGTTCATTTTATCCATGGAGAATTTCCTAAGTACCTGGCAAGTGCACAGGACTTCTAATCTGAATATCTTTTGAAGAGCAGTAAAGCATAACGAGACATAGCAATATAAATCTGAAAAATTCATACTAGACACCAGGTTCTGATTTTATGCTGAGCAGGTAAAACTGACTTAAGAGAGGATTTGCCATTGTGGTTGGGAAGCAGATTTCTGAAAACAGAGCATGCTTTGAGGTAGCAGAGGAGATATGAGAAGCTTTAGCTGCTGAAGGCAGAAAGGTTTGGTAGCTCAGTTAAAACCAGGAGCATATTTTTAGTCATGATTTTGCATTATCCGGTGCCTGTTACCAATGTACTAACACAAGGCTCCAGCCCTGGGTCTCTTACCTGAGTTGAAGTCTGAGCTCTGTCTCTCGGTGCCCATGAAATGCTGCAGAGCACAACAGGAGACTGCAAAGCAGGGCCACGGTTTGCAAGTTGAACCTTTTGTTTCGCTCCCTGCTCAGCAGCTCCACGGTTAGCGCTCAGAAGGATTTAAAAGAAAAAAACCCAAACTGAATGCTAATAGTGGTTAGGACAGGAATCAACAACAGGGAACAGTCCTGATTCTGCTGCACGAACCTGGTGTTCACTCAAACCTCATGCACTTCTGGTTCCTTCATCTCAAAAGGGGCACAGGTAACTGGGATGTCCCGTGCTCTGGCTCGCTTACCAGTGATCCTGGGCACGTGGCGTGGCACTTCTGACTTCAGCTGGTTGGTTTCTTCCCCATTCCCTCAATTATTTACTTCCAAATAGAAACAGACCGTAACAGCAAGTGAAAATAGCATGCTAGTTATCGCACCTGGTCAGAGCAGAGTGGATACCAGGAGAACCCTTCAAATACTTTGTCCGATTGCAGGTGTATTTCTCCTGTGGTTGGACACTAGCTCCAGCTTCTTTCTAACCATATGTTTCCCTTTCTTGATCAAAACCACCCATTTTTCCACTAGCTGTTCAAGGCAACTATGACTCCGTCAGCTGAGACCCGAGGGACCATCAGCAGCAAGAATGTCCCCCTCACCCGGGATGCTGACCCACAGGACAGCACTGATGTTGGTGGAGATGAGATAAACACATGTTGCTGCTCCTGTGGAAGGGTGTCCAAGAAGTTTTCATGTATCTCCATGCTCACATAGTTTAATAATTGCAATATTGTGTAATCATGCATAAAGTAGTTTTGCACTGATATTACCTTGGCAGTTTGTCTCACAAAAGATCCCTTTTTCTGCAGATGTGGCAGTGAAAGACTGCTGCCAGTCTGGCCTTGGTAGAAGACGTATAAGACTATGAAATATTGGGCTGAATGCACAGCAGTCACTCACCAATATTAAAACTACTTGAAACTCGTAGGAAAAGAGTTTGACACAGAGAAAAATACTTCTTTTACAGAGCAGTTTCTGGAACTTGTTTTCACAATCAGTTATGAAGGAGGACAGCATGAGGAAGTTTAAAAGGTGATTATACAAATTAATGAGTAATGGGTCCATAAACATATATTCTAGTGAGCAGTCAGGGATGTGACCTCTATTGTCACTAGTAAAACAATAATGGAAGTTGGGATGCTATGAGGGGAATGGACTGCAGAAACTGGCCGAAGTACCCTCCCTATTCAGATCCCAGCAACCTTCCCCGGGGAGATTTGCAATTCAATAGGTGCTCTGCAAGGAGGAAGCAGAACCATTGCAATGGGCTATCACAGACAACCTTCCCAGAGAAGACACAAAGCAAGGAGCCTTGGTCTGCCTCCCGCGTGTGCCCACTGGGGAAGTGCTGACCTGCCACGGCTCAAATACCGATGGTACACGAGGCTTTGGGGGTGAAAGCTGCCTCTGAGTGGAGGAAATGCAGCAGAGCTGAGAGCAGTGTGAGAACAGAGACACACACAGAGACAAAATGAGGAGTTATATACTTCATTGCTGGTGTTCAGGGATGATTTTGGGGGACTAAAATCTCACTTGTCCAATTTAATCTCACTTCAGCGTTACAACATATTCCCGCGCAGCGAGGAAGCTTGCTCCAGGGTTGGTTTGTATGATACACTGAGCAAGCACTGGGCCAAGATACAGGAACGAACCCCCTGCCATTCCTCAGTGCACTTCCAGATAACATCATCACGCTAACACAAATCTACTGCAGAAGAGTCAAAATACAGAATTTAGCAGTTCAATGAACTTAGCAGTTTTCTTCGGCTTTTCTTCTGAGCTGCCTTCCCCCTGCATTTCCCTGGCACCCCCATGTGCACATGGGTTCTGCACAACATCCTTGTCTCTAAAATGGAGAGACATGGATTTGATGGGTGGACCACTCAGTGGATAAGGAATTGTCTGGATGATCACACTCAAAGAGTTGCGGTCAACAGCTCAGTGTCTGGGTGGAGACCAGTGACGAGTGCTGTCCCTCAGGGGTTTATACTGGGACCAGTGTTATTTAACATCTTTGATGGGGGCATGGACAACCTCAGCAAGTTTGCAGATGACCCCAAGCTGAGTGGTGTGGTTGGTACTCTAGAGGGAAGGGATGCTGTCCAGAGGTAAACCGTGTGAACCTCATAGAATCATTTAGGTTGGAAAACACCCTTAAGATCATTGAGTCCAATCATAAACATTAACACTGGCAAGTCTGCCACTAAACCATGTCCCTAAGTGCCAGCGTCATGAAGTCCAACAAGGCTAAGTACAAGGTCCTGCACCTGGGTCGGGGCAATCCCAAACATGGATACAGTCTGGGTGATGAGTGGATTGAGAGCAACTCTGAGGAGAAGGACTTGGGGGTATCGGTGGATGAAAAACCGAATATGAGCCGACAGTGTGCACTCGCAGCCCAGAAAGCCAATCGCATCCTGGGCTGCATCAGAAAAAGTGTGGCCAGCAGGTCGAGGGAGGTGATTCTCCCCTTCTACTCCACCCTCGTGAGACCCCACCTGGAGTACTGTGGAAGATGATCAGAGGGCTGGAGCACCTCTCCTATGAAGACAGGCTGAGAGAGTTGGGGTTGTTCAGCCTGGAGAAGAGAAGGCTCCAGGGAGACCTTATAGCGGCCTTCCAGCACTTAAAGGGTGCCTACAGGAAAGATGGGGAGGGACTCTTTATCAGGGAGTGTAGTGATAGGACGAGGAGTAATGGTTTTAAACTGAAAGGGGGTAGATTTAGATCAGATATTAGGAAGAAATTCTTTACTGTGAGGATGGTGAGACACTGGAACAGGTTGCCAAGAGCAGCTGTGGATGCCCCCTCTGCGGAAGTGTTCAAGGCCAGGTTGGATGGGGCTTTGAGCAACCTGGTCTAGTGGAAGGTGTCCCTGCCCATGGCAGGCAGGTTGGAACTAGATGATCTTTAAGGTCCCTTCCAACCCAAACCATTCTGTGATGGGTTTATTTTCCCAGCCTGTGTGTTCGGAGGCAAATTTCCATCTTGTTTCATGGCTCCCAAAGAGATTCTGCCCTTACCATGGGTCTGAGACAACGTGTCTGTAACCTCCATGGGAAGTCCCTGAGGCTTTTGAGACATTTCATTGTCAGGTAGGAACTTTAATTTTTAAGAAAGATCACTCTGTGGCTCTGTCTTCATTCACATATCTCTCACTATCATTTCCCCCTTTTGTTTTTACTCCTTCCTTGCTTTCTATTCTCAGTTTTTTCTTCTTTCTTGGCTCACATGTAACTTAATTCTATATATATAGCCTCTTCATTCAGGGATATTAAAGTACTTTATCAAAAAGGGGCAGTTTCTTTTCCTAACCTTCCAGCAAGCAGAGCATGTGAGTGTGTTACCCAGTAAAATAAATAATTGGATTTTTTGTTGTAGAGCAGCAGCAGAACAAATTAGCCTTTGCAGTCTCTCTACCTGTATCTGCCATCTCTCCACCATCACCTCCTCACCCCTGAGTGCCCATCATCCTTTTGAAGAGCAAAGATAACCCCTGTTCTCATCTGAGCTATCCACCTAGACAGACCTATATTGCTTATTCTCCACGAGCAATGCTACCAACGTCCACTGACCTGAACAGTTCACCAAGCTGCCCTGGTGTGCAGTGGCCCAGAAAACTTATTATTCCCTGTTACAAGACCAAAGAGATCTAAAAGTTGTGTCATGTGATCTCCAATTTAAGTTTTAACAACCACCTTCAAAATCCTAAATTTTTTAGACAACAAAAATTTTGATGGATGGAACAATCAAGTATTTGAAATGAAAAGTCTGAAGCAACAATATCTGTCCAATGTAAAATATATCACCTTTTTTCCCTTTCTTTCTATGTGCATCAAGAAATCCCCTGCTTACACTCACTTTTAAAGTGCGATTTAACCAATTTTTTCAGGGAAAGGAAGAAAATACTAGATGTTCTCTCAGGGACCCTGGGGTTATCTCTGCTCTTCTTGTAGCCAAACGCTGATTGACTCCTGAAGGACTCCAGGACTGAGATGCAGCTCCAGCGTGAGATGGTTAAACACAGGTGCCTCTGTGGAGGCGTCTCCTTGTGCTGGTGGTGGGTGTCTCTCTGCAAGGGTCTCCATCTGCACAGGGCGTCCCAGACCCCAGCAGTCGGTGGCGATCCAGGGCTCAGCTTGGTTGCCCTCCCTTGGTGCTGAGTCCCATTCAAGATGTCCTCAGCATCCGCCTGGCCAGGCAGCTGTGACACAGGTCCTGCACACTGACCCCATAGCCCAGTGCCACGGCATGGCCACTGCTGGCCACAGGCTTTGTACTGAGGTTGCAAGGTCTCAGCACTGAGGCGTGCTAGGTTTGCTCTCTTTGAACTTGTCCTGACCTTCCTGGAGCTTTGTTTTTACCAGATTTAGCAGTAATGGCAATTTTTATTCTGTCTATGACTATGGCTTTTTTGCTTACCGTTGTATGGTGCAACCATAGTTTCAGTTTTATGCGGATAGTAGCAAAAAGTAGCTATTCTGTGCTGAATGAGATATTTATGACTTTGACATAATGGCATAGTGCTGAGAAATATGCATCTGGCAGGATGGCAGGGGCCTTGAGAAGTGGGGACACGGGATGCGGCATAGAGGAGTGCAGGCATGAAGTGATAAGAGATGGGGCACAGGCTGGTACTGGAGACCTCATGGCTATAAATAACTCAGGAATGGTCAGTTAAAGAAATGCAAGCTCAGAGCTGGACAAAAATGGTTTTGGGGTGACATAGAGAGCAAAGAATGAGTATCTAACATGCATAAAATGTACCGTATTTAGGAAATCTGCATGTGTCATGAACTTGCAGATCACTGAAGAGAAAACAAGGTGTAAAAGCATGTTATCAAACATAAAAAAGACACAAAGTGGACCCTAGAGTGAGGAAGAAGAAGCCACAAATATCAATATCATACTCCCTGTGAAGGACTCCAGATTTTGATGACTTGATGTAATATCTACCACCACCATCAAACTGAAGTCACCAACCTTAGGACCCAGAGGAGCAGTGAAAGGGTGAGCACGACCTCAGGGAAAAGGTAGAAAATGGGAAGTGTGTGTATAACAATATTAAGTTATTATTATTATTACTACTACTACTACTACTACTTCTTCTTCTGTAGAGAAATATTAATTTCTTTCTTTTTTTCTGTAATAACTGGATCTGGACTAACAATGATTCTTGTATTAGCCTGTTTTCAATTACACTAACAATTAATTCTTGGCTTTATACATAAAGTGTGTTTGCTTTTTGCCCATAAATGAGATACTGATCATAACAACACACACGGCCCTTTGCAGCAGTGGCAGTGGGAAACCAAGTGGGACACCATCAGGCATCTCCAATGAGAACTGTGATCTCCAGTGGCACTAAGCAACAATGCGTAAGCAAGTGCATTGAGCTCCGGTCTAATGCAGACCCTGAGGTGTCCAGAGGCACTCAGCACACCCTAAAGCGGTTACCCAGCAGCTGCTCACCCAAATCTGACCCCAGGGAAGAAGCATCCAAAGCAATTCGATCCCAGACCCTGGAGATAGGTTGCACAAGGCAAATCGAATGGATGGAGCAAATGCGGATGCACCCAGCCACCCACCCATCCCATTAAGTACGAGGACATGGGCAGGACTACAGTGAGAGGGAGAGAGTTTCCCCATTTTCTGCACTGTCAAGTGTACAAGTACCCCCTGCAAGGATAGGGTCTACACATTCACATGGGACACCTTAAAAGGCTTTCTGGAGAGATCGAGGGATCTGCACAGCCATGAACATAGTATCTGTGTGGGAAAATGTCGCAGAAAATGTAATAAAGGGCTGAATCCATAGGCACATGGATAAGTATGCCATATGGGGAAAGGGTCAGTATCGCTCTTCTAACGTGCAGACAAGACTCCCTAACATATTGCAAGTTCTCCAAGGGCTGGAAAGGATTCTGACTGGGCAGATCCAGGTGATAGAGTCTACCTGGATTCCCAAGGGCTCTGAGCAAGGTCTACACCGAAGGTCATCACATAAGCAGTCATGAAATGAGAGTAAAGTTCCACACACCACTGAATAATTGAATCAAAAAATAAAGGTGCATGGCTATCCTTTACAGTGAACCCCTACAGGATCTGTACTGGCATTTCCACTTTTCAACTAATTTTGTCTAGGAAAGGGAGGGGAAAAGAACAAGGCAGCCAAATTTCTGATGATATTAAATTACTCCAGAAACAGGAGGACCAGCTGCGAAAATCTGCAGAAGACCCTGATAAGACTGAGTCACTGAACAATAAAACAACAGATAAAAAAAAAAGCAGTTGAGATAAACATACAGTGATGCACTTGGGGAAAAAAGGGAACACTTCAGATAGAAAATGACAGGCTGGTGGCTAACAACTATCTCTCAGGAACAAACTGTCACAGTTATGATAGTGTTACGACAACACGGTTCAGTGATCAGCAGTTCCAAAAACAAACTAGATATTAGAAATTCCTAGGCAAGGACCAGAAAACAAGGCCAGGACATTTTTGTGCATCTGAAATACTGCTGCGGTCCTGATGCCTCGGGGAGCAAAACACTTGTCATGGGAAATGAGTGAGCAGACCGTGGCTTCGGTTGGAAAGAGGCAACGGAGGGGAGATATGACAGGGGTGGCAAAGGCTCAAAGATGAGCGGGGGAAGATCCGCTCATTGTCACTTCCAATACGAGAGCTAGAAGCATGACAAATTAAAACAGCACGCGTCTGGTTCAGAACGAACATACAGAGGTCATTATTTATGCCGCGTGTCATTAGACTGTGGCAATCACTAAAGCAGGGTCCCCTAGAGCCTAAAGTGTTCATGCATTAAATTTAGGAAGATGAGCTCCTTAGGCAAGTGGATTCATCACCAAAACGTCAGTGATGTGATCGAAGAAAAGAGCAAAACAGCCCCAAAACCTGTGCTGTTCCAGGAGGAAGACTCTGCCCCTTTGCTGAGGGTGAGGGCTTTCCAAGGGGTCTTATGAGCAAACCCTAGCTTTTAGCTTCAATTATTGTTCTCAGGTTTTTGCAACAAGATGCGCTGTTTCCCCTCATCAGCTAGCATTTATTTTTTTGTGTTGGGAGTTACTATTCTTCCTTCTGAGACAATAGCACTTATTCCTGCATGTCATATTTTTGTGATGAGCATTAGCCCTTTTGTATTTATTCTTGGTGCATGGCTGGAAAGGATTCTGACTGGGGCAGATACAGGTGATAGAGTCTAACTAGATTCCCAAGGGCTCTGAGCAAGGTCCACACCGAAGATCATCACATAAGCAGTCATGAAATGAGAGTAAAGTTCCTCACACCACTGAATAATTGAATCATAAAATAAAGGTGCATGGCTATCCTGTACAGTGAACCTGTATCCTGATATGTCCCTCCTTGGCTTTTTTGTCTCATGCAATGGTGCAAATCAAAACTGCCTGGTGTAAGGCGAGTAGAGGAAAAAGGGCTTGTTATGAATGGCCAAGGCTGATAAGAGACCTGCCTTTTGAAAAAAAAACCACTAGATCATTTCCCAGGCAAGAGGGTGTTGCTTGTGAAAGAGGCTGGACAAGCTGGTTGTCACCAAAACAACTGCTTCTAAGGTAACAAATGCTGGCAGAAGTTAAACCTCGTGAAACATATTAGGAAGGTACTTTCAAGTGCCAGCACCTGTGTCAGAAGGCTTTCCTATTAAAGCTGACCCCAGGAGGTTGCTGTGCTGAGTGTTTTTAGGGTGTTACAGAGGGTTTAGAGGCTCTCTGAGTGGGTAAGGTTGATATCTGGGTTTTTGGGTTGTTTTTTTTTTGGGGGGGGGTGGCGGCGGGGGGGGGGGTGGG